GGAGACCAAGAAAATACTAACTATATTACACTAACAGGTGAGGCACTATCTAGTGAGGAAAATAGGAGAAACAGGCTCTGCTGCGGATTCCGTCCCAGACCAAAGGCGATAGAGATGGAACAGGGCGGTCAGACTGCACAGCGCTATATATACGTCCCTCTCACAGCGTGGGGTGGGCATGTGAAGTCCAACAGCCACTGCTGATGAAGATCTCTGATCCCAGGCGCAGGAGGGGCTGCCACACCTACAAGTGGAGCACCCATAGGAACATCATTCTAAGAACTGCCACGGCACTTTTTCCCCAAAAAATTTTTCAGTGAGTTGGAGCTGTTCCTAGAGCATGATGTTGTAGATGAAGATGATAAAACAGTATTCTCTCTATAAACAGAATGCTTGACCATTTGTTTACACACTTCAGCAGCATATATGCATTATATTCACTTAATTTCAGACCCAGCTTTCTAAGTATATATTGTTTGTTTTGAGAAAGTTACATTAGATAGGAATGCACTTTTTACTCCCTAGTCAGACTTTTTTGTACGTATGTACTACCGGTGCACATATCTTTGTTCCCCTTGTGGATCATCTGCAAGACTCTTCACATATTAAAAATGCATGTGCATGTCCAGATGTGGGAACAGACTCTCTTTCTCTCTCTCACACACAAAGACCAGGAATTCCAAATATGGTCACTGGGATTCCCTATTTCATTACTATATAATGCAAAAAAAATCATAATATGTAATATGTCCTTTGTAGAGTAGTCTGTTAGAAAGAGGCAGCCTCTGCCTGAATAGGAAGTGAACTGAACTCATGAGAAATGGTCTACAGAAGTGCCTCAGCACAACCTACTGTCCACGTGGGTGATGTGCCATTTCTGATGCCTGACAAGCTGCTGCCTCCACCTCCTCCACTGCTAGTGCCAATAAACACACTCACTAGGGTGATGGAACAAGGGGCACAGTCTGGATCTTGGCAGACTGGCTCCCTTCACATGGCACCATGAGGAGAATCATTCTCTATCTTCACCCCTTCCCCCGCAAAATCCTCCCTCCCTACAGAACTATAATTAGAAAACATGAATAAACTGCCTTATGGCACTGGAGTCTTCAAAAGCAACTTAACAACATAACAGGAAGGAGTATGAACAAAATGCTTTACTGTATCTCATGGTAGTGATTTGGTAAGAGGGACATATGGAAAATTCATCTACTAATGGGTGGGTTTTTTCTTGCAATGGACATAATAATGTTTACTGAAGGAAAAACAAGTAATGGTTTTCTTTCCCCAGGATGCTACAAAAGAAGAATAGCACCAATCCGTCTGGAACTGTCTTGAAAATAAAGGAGAAAAGCCCATTTGTGATGACAGCTCATTGTGAAAAAGCATTATTATTGTTCAATAGAAGGTCAGTGAGAAGTATGGCAATCTGAGTAATTGCAAATGAAAGCTCTCTATAGGCAGCTTTACATTACACCAGGTTCTTCCACATAGCCACTTGGAATAGGTGTGTGAACAGCTCCTACAGGTCTTTTCCTGCACTTTTGCAAAATGTGTACAGTACTTCTTCCACCTTCCTAAGACATATCCTAAAATTTGAAGTGGAAAAGATCATGCTGCATGTTTTAAACAAGAAAATTCTTATACCTGAATGGGGCCAAATTCTCAGCTGGTGTAAATCAGTGTTCTCTCTATGTCTTCCAATAGAGCTATGCCTATTTGCACTAGCTGAGAATTTGGCTGTAATGTTCGAATTACACAAGCATACAAGTCAAAAAGAGGGAAAAGAGAGTGAAGTGAGGGAGTGAGGCCAGAACAAACAAGTTTTCCTCTTACCTGTTCGTTTTGTTTTTTATACCTGGTGATCAGCACAAGGTTTTCCTTTCCCTGGCAGTAACAAGAAGGAAACCCAACCAACCAAGCTGAAGCATTTCCACTCCCCTTCCCCAGCCTTGCAGCTCATTCTCCATTTCTCTAGAGGAAGTGGAAGGAATTGGAAAACACCCATTATGATCCTATTCACTTCTCTCCAAGAACACATCTGGATCCTCTCGGGGAAAAGCCACTCTGAGTACCCACTGAAAAAAGTTGTGTCGGTCAAAACCAGACCCTTCAGTTGGCAGTGCTTCTGATAAGTATGCACAGATCACCAGAAAGCCACATGACACAGATCATCTACTTAGGCTTCACCTCTTTCTACCTAAAAAAGGTGACTACTTGGGTAGAATGTGCTCTGATCCTAGCCACACAAGGCACTTCTGGTATTCTGTATGATTCCTGATCTACTTTGCAATGGCAATCCCTGCTTGGGGCCCTTAAAAAGAACAAAGGGCCCAATCCAGTGCGCTCTAAAGTTTATGGGAACCCAGGACACCCATTGATTTTAATGGGAATTGGCTCAGGCCCAAAGAAAGTCAGCTTTCTAAAGGGTTCTGTTTTCAACGCAAGCCTTAAGAGTGCTCCGTAGATATAGGGTATGCCAAATGTTCCCTTTCCTAGTCTTACATTGCTGACAAAAACTGGGCAAGAAAATATCTTGATTGATGTGAAAAGGCAAAAGCATTGTGGGAAGAAAACTAGGGAAGGTGCAAAGAACCCTATATCTGTGGAACAGCATATAAGGTAACAATCTAGAAGGTGTTGAAATCACCCTTCTAGTGGCCATTACCACAGCAAGGAAGACTACATAGAAACTTAAATTCTGTGGATTCAAATGCCTCGAAGGGAAGGTGAGAAATCATAGGAAGTAACTCTAGGAGATACGGAACAAGGCCCACTGTGATCCTAAATAAAACTGATCCACTGGGACAAAATCAGCCTGAGACCCTTCCCCTAGTGCCAATTCCATTCTGGTCTGAAACCCTTATAGTTAAATATGGATGCTGAAAAGAAGGGTTTGGCCTTGTAATTGGCCTTGAAAAATGACCAATTCTGCGCCTTGTACCTCCTCATTCCCCATCCCCTCCAAAAAATTTGCTTTTAAGGCTCTACCTCACTGGAGATTAACAGATGGCAAAGGAAAGGATCCACTCTGAGGAGAAAGGTTTAGATTTTCTGGAATAGGCAGAGATACCTTCTTGTTCAAGGGGTCTGGTAAAGTAATGCCTAAACTCTCTGCAAAATATGTTTTCAACTTTGGAGTGGGAGAGTATTAGCATTCTAAGATGTGAAGTAACATTCCCCCCCTCCAGAGTTTGAGCAACAGAGCTCTGTAAACTATCAGAGAAGAGCTAAGAATGTCTGCATTTAAACGCAGGGAATCCTGTGGCATATCTCTACAGCTTTTAACAGCAAAAGGGACCTTTCAAAAGTTCTGATCCCCCTGGACATGTACATGAAGAAATCCTGATCTTGCTGGATCTCAGAAAGCCAACCATCAGCAGATCTGGACACACAAGAAAAAGGTCTCCGTAGAACTGTATAACTCACAATCAATTATTTTACTGATGATCTCTTCCACCTTCAATTTTTTAGGTCTGCATGCACATTAGGGGAAGTAAGCCACTCATCTGAAAATCCGCTGGCAGTCTGTATAGCTTTAGAGCAGATCTAGAGGAAACCAGTTTGGCACTGAGCATGACACAGGCTTTTTTCATTGTCTTCCAAAGAATGGAACTGGATTCTTTTTCTCCAAGGAACAGAGGTAGTAGATCTTGGAGACAAGCTTTGCTGAGAATCTTATAATTGCATAGCCAAACCAATAATTTCTGAATAGATACTCGTAATCCTTGTGAGACATTCTGCTGGATGGACCTCAGCCTAGCCCTCATTCAGTAAACAACTTAATCACGTGTTTAAGTTCAAGCATGACTCCAAGTCAATGGGACTACTTGAGTGCTTAAACCTAAACACATGATTAAGTGCTGTGTTGATCAGGGTCAAAGGAAACCACTCATTCCTACAAACAGATTTCAGAGTTTGAATACTGATAGAGAGACTATAACCTGATAAAGCCAGAGCTCTGGAAGTTTTGCAGGAGCCAGATGGATTTAAGAATGCAAAAACAAATTCCTGGACACTCTGCAGAAGAAAACAGAAGAGACCTACCTATGTGAGCAGAATTCCTTCCTGAATTAAATGTTGCTTCAGATGGACATGAAACCATGGGGGAGTAGAAAAATAAGGGACTTTGAGAGGTTTCCAGTTCCATGCCTTCTCCTCTACAGTGTTTATTTGGATAATTCAATCTTGCTGGCAGCACACTTTTAAACCAGACTCTTTTCATTCTCCTCAATAAAATAGTCCTCCATGGCTCTAGGTCCATCTGAATCCATATTTTTTTCAGGCAGGGACTCTGTCCACATAAGGTCCCTTCTCTTTTCTACTGATTGGGAAGGCTGGAGTCTCCAGCAGGCCTCTCAGAATCTGAAAGGCAAACGGGACCACTGTTTTCTCTCCTGACAATGCAAGCAAAAATTACCTGCAGTAGAAGAGGGAAGAAAGCTGTTGCAGATGAACCATTTTATGAAATCTTCTTTTTAATTTTAAGCTTTTCTAAATCCAGCATGCATAATAAAATTCAAGATGGCAGCTAAATGTGTTAAAATTCAAAAGGTTGCCTTCCTACTTCTGCACTGCACTGGGGAATTTAGCAGGGGAGCTGAGAAGCAGAGAACAAGGTGCCACCAACTGGAGTACAGCTGCTTCCATTTAACTGGTTGCCTTTCCTGCTTTTTTGCTAGCAGTGAGAGAAGACACCTGTGATCTGTGCAGATTGACCAAGCCCTAGTAACAAATTAACAGGACAAAGAGAAATAATTTATTTTAACCTATAAATTTAAGAAATTACTTATTGCTACCATCAAAACCTCATAGTTTCCATAGCCGTGTTTTCTTTTATATTCATCTTTTATTGATAATCATTTCTATGGCACTCATCATTATAGTATGTAAGCACCTGCTCTGATACTAAGGTGAGGTACAGTCCCATGAAGGCTTATAGCTACTCATTAAACACAAGCAATATCTTGTAAAAGGTTTAAAAGCTACTATGGACTTACCAGCTGTTGTATATACTGTATATTTTACAGAGGCAACTATCTCATTATTTTCTTTTGTGTCACACTGGAAAGCTACTGGATGGGTATCCCTGTGTACCTCCAGAATAGCCGAATCATTAGGAAGAATCAGTGATTGCTATCCATATTAAAAAAAAAGACAAAATGGATTTTTTTTCAAATAGCTTTATAAAGGGGAAATGCTCTATATCAAAGTCACATAGAAAACTGGTTATTCTACTCGAGCACTTCTCAATCAGTTCCATACCAGGGTCCCTCCCTCACTATCCAAAACCCCATCACATCTAGGCAGGACACCTCTCCTATTCACCAAAGGAGTAGAGCAGTGTGGTTATATCCCACTGACACTTGTTCACATCCTCCAGGTTGACAACCCAAGTTCTAAGAACATAAGAATGGCCATACTGGGTCAGGCCAATAGTCCATCTAGATCGGTAACCTGTCTTCTGACAGTGGCCAATGCCAATGAACAGAACAGGAAAATTATTGAGTGATCCATCCCGTCCTCCACTCCCAGCTTCTGGCAATTAGAGGCTAGGGACACCCAGAGCATGGGGTTGCATCCCTGACCATCATGGGTATTAGCTATTGAAGCATCTATCCTTCATGAACTTATCTAATTCTTTTTTGACCCCCATTACATTTCTGATCTTTACAACACCCCCTGGCAACAAGTTCCACAGGTTGACTGTGCACTATGTGTTTGTTTTAAACCTACTGCCTATTAATTTCATTGGGTGACTCCTGGTTCTCATGTTATGTGAAGGCATAAATAACACTTCCTTATCCACTTTCTCCACAACAGTCGAGATTTTATTGACCTCTATGATATCCCCTCTTAGTCATTTCTTTTCCAAACTGAGAAGTCCCAGTCTTTTTAATCTCTCCTCATATGGAACCTGTTCCATACCCTTAATAATTTCTGTTGCCCTTCTCTGTACTTTCTCTGCTTCTAATATATCTTGTTTGAGATGGGTGCCCAGAACTGCACACAGTATACAAGGTGTGGGTGTATCATGGATTTCTATACTTGCACTATGATATTTTCTGTTTTATTATCTATCCTTTTCCTAATGGTTCCACACATTCTGTTCACTTTTTTGACTGCTGCTGCACATTGAGCAGATGTTTTCAGAGCACTATCCACAATGACTCCAAGATCTCTTTGTTGAGTGGTAGCAGCTAATTTAGAGCCTATCATTTGTATGTATAGTTGGGATTATGTTTTCTAATGTGCATTACTTTGCATTTATTTACTCAAGTAAGAACAAAAAAGGTTACCTTCTAAAATACATTACAGAACGTATTGCTTACTTTAAACGAAGGAAAATTGGAGCTCTACAAAGTAGTGGGGCACACAAGCTCTTGTGCCATCTGACTGTCAAAGAAAAACTGTAGAGATCTCATTTGTATTATGATAGCAAAGAAAAGAATTAAACCAGGAGTTTGTATGAGATTGTTGAAGCAGCTGGTAAAAGTACTGAATATATCATTCTCCTGCACAAGGTGAGGTTCACTTGCTCACCTGGTCTGGAATTAACATTTTCCAAAGGTATGTAAATCGATTCTCTGGAGGTATAAAAATACATGGTATCTTCACAGTTGCAAGGCTTTCAGAAATTGGTCTACCCCCTGTGGAAGAAAATTTTAATAGATACATCAAAAACTGTCTAAAATACCTCTGTATGTACCATACATTTCATAATTTACCTAATCAAGGAATGTTATTTTGAAATTGTTCTTTCAATTAAAACCATTTAAAACTTCTGCAGTTTGGCTTAATATTTAGAACTACATACATATCTACAAAATAGAAAATATGTGCAGAAAAATGTACTTTACAGCGACTTAAAATCAAACACACATCAGTACAGAAATGAGTTTTGAAATGTTACTAGATTGCCTAACAGGGTAATTGGAGAATGGGATGCAATAATTTCATTCCACTTCTACCACACAGAATAAGGATGTTTCCCTTGAATAAACACATTCACTCTAAATTCCTATATCATAGTATTCTACTTACATCCACAATCTACTGGTCCTCTGCATTCCTCTACACGAACAATACATTTTGTTTCGCTTCCAGGGCACCCGTTGGTTAATAAAACTTCTCGAATGCCAATACCTTTGCAAAAAAAATTAAAAATATGTTTTAGTTTCCATTTCTTCTTTTTCTTCCAACATTTTTTGCCTTCTCCCTCTTTATATTGGATGCTAAACTAATTTATCTACCATACATCCAGAGAAACAGATCCTCTCAGAGCTTCTGCCAAGGCTATCCCATATTTGTGCTTAAGATTTGGCTGATAACACTTACTTCTGCCCACTTTCATCACCTAAGGTCCTGTAAAGCATACAGATCCTCAGAGTCAATATGTCACATTTTTAAAAAGTCATTCTTAATATACTCCTTTTAGAAGAATTCAAAATACAATTAAATTCTCCAGATTATCCAAACAGCATGTGGGACACGGATTTTGTTTGGATAATCAAGAGCCATCCAGGCACCAGTAGCGGGGTGGCCTCCCCTGAGACAGAGGGCTCGGCCTCCTTCTTCTCTTTGCAGTCTTGGCTGGGGGTCTCTGCTCTGTCCCACCAGGACTACAGGTTCCCCGCCCACCCATCTCACACCTTGTGCCTGCAGGGATTGGGTTTCACTGGGCCTGCAGCAGCAAAGGGACCTCTCTCTGCAGCACTGCTGTCACAGCCCTACTCACTCACTCTCATGACAGTGGGGTTGCAAAGGACTCCCTGTGCTGCCGCAGGAGTCATTCACCAGCAGAGTCACCTCCCCTGTAGACGGGAGCTAGCTAGTTCTACTACACCTCCTAATAGTCCTGGCTGGGGTCTCTACTCTATTATATGAACCTCCACATTACTGAACCCCTTTCTCATCCCCTGCATAAGATACATGCTACAGAGGGCATGTATTTCCTGTATCTCATGCTGGGGAACAAGGAAGGGATTCAGATAATGCAAAGGTTTGGATAATCGGGTTTTGGATAAACAGAAATATACTGTATACTGCTAAAAAACAAAACAGCGAATCAAACATCAAAGCTGACTAGCAGTATTCATGAACATGGCCTTTCAGTGCCCAAGTCAGCTGGTGCTGGGAGCATAGTAGAGATAGCCTTCCCACTCTGACCCTGACCCTGCAGTGTACTGGGCACCTTTAATTCCCACTGATGTCAACAGGGATTGAGTGTGCTAAGCACCTTATAGAATAGGATCCTCTTAGAAGAAGGAGAGCCTTGAATCACTTAACAGTAACCAGTATTGGCTGGCTAAGGAACAACACTGACAGGCTCTGAAGTGGATCCCATTCAGACCTCCTCATTTTGACCCTCATAACTCCACCTAAGTCATGGAGGGTCCCACTGAAGATAAGGAGGGGAAGTAGGCAATCATAAATATTGAAGGTTAAGGGAAATGTCTGTATAAAATTCAATTAAATAAAATGTATTTACTCTCAAACATCAGTATTTCAATGGGAACACTGCCTCATTTTAACCATTACAAATTCAAAACAAATGCTATATTTATTTTTGCCAAACAATGTGTACACAGTTCACTGAAATGACATAGGGTGTGGGGGTGGAGGGAATAGTATGTTTAGGCCCAGTAAACACTGAAGAAATTGCCATTATTCTAGCAGCATGTTGTTTACTAAACTGCAGGGGCATGGGAAAAGGGGAGTTAAAACCCTCCTGCAGTATGATAAATGGGAAATTGATTTGAATGCTGAATTAACCCCACTGATGTGAAGAATAATTTGTTGTGATGTATCTGCTTCCTTTAAATGTATATGATACACACTGATAGATATTAGAATATTTCACAGATGACATATAGCTCATGAAACAATACTTCAAGTGACAGAGAGAGACAACAACACTTACTGAAGCCGTCACAAAACAGGGATCATTCTCCACTGCTGAGAATGTCTCATCTCAAGGATGCAGAGACAGAGGTGTAAATGACAATGAACTGACACTTTTATTAAAGACATTCCTCTTACTTTAGAACTAGGTCTTTTTGTTGTCTGGCTGTCTGGGAAAACAGGGGAGAGGGTGTGGGGGGGTGAGCAGAAAACCTATGAACATCAAAATGGCTGGTTTGAAAAAATCCGGATGCTGAGCTAACTGTGGTCACGTTTAGTAGGAAAGAACATGCCTGTTTTAACTACCTGAATATTAAAACTGTGGCACCCTATCAAAGTCAAAGAGTTGACTAAAAGAACCCCATCCTGAGACCTGTAGGGCATTTCAGTACTCCCCTGCCTCTCCATTTTGACCAGTTTTGTCTTCTATTCCCAGAAAACTTGTTTCCCTTTTCCTCTCCCTATTAGCAGCTGCCAACTCTGCAGAAATTAATCTACTGCAATACTTTGTCAAATGAAGTCTTATTTTAAAGAGTTATTCAAATTAACTCGGATGGAAACGTGGTCATGTTAAATTAGAAAGATTAGAAATATGGAACTTGAAAAAATGCAAGTTAATAATACAGCTGGGAAAAATAATACAAAAAGTAAATATCAATGGGAAGGAAAATACAAATGATGAAAGAGACCTAGGGGTAATAGTAGACAGAAAAATTAGACATCAATTTATTGGGACATGGCAGCAAAAAAGACTAATGCAGAATTGACCAAAATATTAACGAGCATCATTATTATGAAGAAATAAGGCTTTATGATTTCTCTATAAGCTGTGGTATAACCACATCAGGAATATTGAATTCTGGCCACAACATTACCAGAAAGATATTGAGAAACTGGAGGCAGTTCAAACAGCAACCAAAATTACTGAGGGATGTAGGGATGAATTTATAAATAAAGATTAAGAAAGTTAAATGTGTATAGTTTGGCTGGATGGACTGGAGGGAATACCTTTCAACCTGCCAACATCCAACTATTGGATCTAATGAGTGACCGAGACCCAAAATGAGGGACACAAAATAATATCCAAATTCAAAATGATGGGGAATGGCCTTTAGTGTAAATAATCCTTTGTCCAACCTCTAACTGATGATTATTTATTTAAGATTTAAATAATTGACATCAATAAAAGTGAAGGGACATCACATTTGTTGGGAACACAGGTAACTTTGGGACTAAACTGAGTTAAATCCCTCAAATGGAGGGACTTCTGAGCGGTCCACTGAAGAGGTGGGCCATGATAACAGTCTCTAAATATCTTAAGGGTGCAAGCATGAAAGAAAATTAGATTTAGGATGGCTCATAATGAGGGGAAGTGAGGTGTATAACCAGCAGTAAATGACAAAATTAAGAAAGGGAATAATTAAACTGAATGTCAGAAAAAAAGACGTTTTGAGATCAAGATGTATTAGCGTGTGGAATAGTTTCCCAAGGGCAGTAGTGGAAGCCCCATCATTTGCAACATTCAGAACTAGTTAGGAAAAAAATACTAGAGAATGTAATGTATGAAATAATACCATATTGGCTGGGGAATAGACTAATTGATTTGAAAGTTGCTGGTTTCCCTCCTCCCTTCTTGTTTCCAGGTACTATGATACTATGAGAGACAGATTCTGTTCAAAACAATTTCAATACTATTTCTGAAACTTCTGCTAAATGGGTGTTTTCTAAGCAATGCAGTGCCACTCCATTCCGGCCCCTATTACCACCCTAATACCACAGATGTCTTCTTTGCAATATGTCAAGTTTTCACCAGATGGGTGAAGCAAAAATTCTGAGATTCTGTGTGCTGAATTTTCATCCTATCTTTCTCCAGGATACCTCTTCTTTCCATGACATAGTTTATAAATTATATAAATGTGGAACATAGAATAGACTACTGCAGATGAGCAGTTTTTTGATAGCGCTGGCAATACTGTATGTGGGAAGACATCTGTGAGATGCATCAGAAGATCTTTCATCTTCTGAACATCTCACAGATGTTCACAAATAGAGAAAATTGTTACTTTGGTGAAGGCAGCTCATGTGCCAATAAATGTAGGGAACTGGTTTAAAATAGGAGCTTGCAGGCTGTGAAATTAATAAAACAACAGATCTGACCTAAACTTCTAATGACAATCAGCTTGATTGTTTTTGTTAATTATAGTTATTGGAAATTGAAATCAATGAGAGGTGAAGGAGAGCAAGCAAATTACACCTGCTAAATTGCTACAGCTAGCACTTTTTTCCCAAAAACAAATTACAATATGCTTTATTCATCTGCTTTGCTACTTACCACACGTCACTGTGCACATTCCAAATTCTACTTCCTTGGATACTGTAGCATTCAAACCTAAACACAAAGTCTGAAGTTACATTTCTAATATGACACCTTCTTGGAGGGTGTGTGGGGGAGCGGGGAGGAATACCCAATTACCAGGAAATTCACTTCTTAAAGTCTTCCCTAGTCCTTTTCAGAAAACCAAGTGCAAATAACTAATATTTAAATCTTAATCTCATTATTGAGAAAATATTATGCATTTTCCTTATAAGTCAACCTACTATGTTAAATTAGTTTACTGAAGTGGTTCTCAAACTTTTGTATTGGTGACCCCTTTCACACAGCAAGCCTTTGAGTGTGACCCCCCCTTATAAATTAAAAACACTTTTTTTATATTTAGCACTATTATAAATGCTGGAGGTGAAGCGGGGTTTAGGATGGAGGCTGACAGCTTGCAACCCCCTCCCCACATAGTAACCTGTGATCCCCTGAGGGGTCAAGACCCCCAGTTTGAGAACCACTGATTTACTGAATTCCTTGAGAAGTAAAAATATGCACAATATAGGTCTTCCCTTAAAAGAGTTAAGCAAAATTCTCTATAAACAATATTTCAATCAACTCATTTCCTAGTTCTTTCTGGCAAATGCAAGCCTTCCCACATGATTTTTTTTCCCCATCACACTTTAAGGTCAGCTTTAGACAGCTAGCACAAGCAATGAATCAACCAGGTACAGTCTTCTAATTAACTATTGTGGTTTTAACCACTATGATTTGGCTTCTTCCATTTTTCTGGTACTTCTCAGGCTAGGAAATGGGTTTCACAAATTATGCAGAAGCAAAAGGTTCACATCTCCATCTGGGATTCAAATATGGATGATATATTTTATTAATATTAGCATGCAAGTTGAATGTGTATAAGGATGCTAAGAAAAAGTAACTGATCAATAGAGGAATTAAACAACTTTATGCAGTGTCTTTGAAAATAATTAATTAAACAGGCAATAAGTCTTTTTAATCTTCTAAAATGCAAAGGGACAAAGACGATTTATTATGGCTGTTTTACAAGTCTACATAATCAGTCTATCCTACTCCAAATATGTTGTTATGATAATAAATACCATAAATGCAAAGTTTACTTTTTCTATTCCTCATTTTTTTGTTTTGGAATCTCTTCTTCACAAAATGTTATGTTAATTCAGTAATGCAAGTTTATATTTCTCTTCTTTTAAGCTGTTAAAACTTTACATAACATTTCTGTGGTTGAAAAATGAGTGGGTCCTTTCCACTAGCAGTCAGTGATACACAAATATAAAATAGCCTTCCTTACTCTACAGTAAGGGATTAACACTACAGTGGTAGTAGGCATAAATTGATATCAAACTCTTATAACCTCTTTTCCAACATTATTCATGAAACTTCATAATTCTACACTTGTGCTATTCCTGTCACTATGACTTTGTGATTTATTTCAATATATAAGCTGTGCTAATCAGAACACCCTTTTAGTACATGTACAACAATATTTAAAGAATAATTTCACAATTTAGTTCATTATTATTAACTCTCTCGAACCAGAGAGGGAGGAATTTACAAAAAAAATAGATTCTGTCAGTATCACCTCATGCAAAATCATGTGAAAACAGAGAGATGGTCCATAACTTAAGACACCATGCCTTCAGTGCCTTGCCTCCCCCCCCCCCACCTCATTTAAATCTGTGGGATATTAGCTCAAGAGCTTTGGCTAATCTCAACCACCACAGCATAATAGAAAGGGAGAGGAGATTTCCAAGATCCCATCTATAATACTAATGTAAACATGTTTAAATGCGGCTGTGATCAACCCATATTATAAAATGGTTTATTCTCGTTCATAGGGACAGAAATAAAACATGTTAGAGAACTGGGAAAACTGGAGGGCAGATCCTCGGCTGGTGTACATTGGCATAGTTCTATTGATTTCAATGGAGCCATGACAATTTACACTAGCTGAGGAACCGCCACAAGGGGTAAAAGACTAGTGGCACACTCGCCAGGTCAGCTGACGCAGGCTTGCAGGGCTCAGGCTGTGGGGCTAAAAATGCTCTGTAGATGCTCAAGCTCAGGCTGGAGCTCAAGCTCTGGGCCCCTCCCCCCTCCCCCACAGTGTGAGCTAGAGTCAGCTGACTGGGGCCAGCTGCAGGTTTTTTACCCAAGGTGTCTACCCCAGAGTCTACGTATTACAGTCGTCCAATCTAGAGATGACCAGATCTGGCAACTGTGGCAAGGTGTGGTCACATCTGAAAGGAGAGGTTGCAATCTCCCATCCAAATACAAATGAAAAAATGGATTTTGGTCACTGGTGAGCAACCTTACTACCCAAAGCAAGCAAACTTCCTCTAACTATGGGGCAGATATCAACTATGCTATCCTCTCAGGAGGCTTCCCTCAATCCAGTAGCATCATTATAAAACATATTATGACTCTTTCGTCGCAAACTTAAGCAAGCTAAGCAGTCATGGGATAAGAGAGAAGGTCCTCTCGTGGATCAGTAACTGGTTAAAAGATAGGAAACAAAGGGTAGAAATCAATGGTCAGTTTTCACAATGGAGAGAGGTAAACAGTGGGGTCCCCCAAGGATCTGTCCTGGGACCAGTACTATTCAACATATTCATAAATTATCTGGACAAGGCAATGAACAGAAATGTGGCAAAATTTGCAATGGATACAAAATTACTCAAGATAGTCAAGTCCAAAGATGACTCCGAAGCTTTACAAAGGGATCTCACTAAACTGGGTGACCGTGCAAGAAAATGGCAGACAAAATTCAATGCTGATAAATGCAAAGTAATTCACATTGGAAAACAATCCCAATTATACATACAAAATGATGGGATCTAAATTAGCTGTTACCACTCAAGAAAGATCTTGGAGTCATAGTGGACAGTTTTCTGAAAACATCTGCTGAATGTGCAGCAGCAGTCATAAAAGCTAACAGAATGTTAGGAACCATTAGGAATGGGATAGATAATAAAACAGAAAATACCAGAATGCCACTACAGAAATCCATGTTACACCCACACCTTGAATACTGCATGCAGTTCTGGTCACCCCAGCTCAAAAAAGATATATTGGAATCAGAAAAAAATACACAGAAGGGCAATAAAAAGGATTAGGGGGATGAAACAGCTTCCATACGAGGAGAAATTAAAAAAACTGGGATTGTTCAATTCAGAAAAGAGATGACTGGGGGGGGGGGTATAATAGAGGTCTATACAATCATGAATGGCGTGGAGAAAGTGAATAGCGAAGTGTTATTTACCCCTTCACATAACACATAACACATAACACAGGAACTAGGGGTCATTCGATGAAATGAATAAGCAGAAGGTTCAAAACAAAAATAGGAAGTACATCTTCACACAACACACAGTCAACCTGTGGAACTTGTTGCCATTGTCTGTTGTGAAGGCCAAAAGTATACCTGCGTTCAAAAAAGAATTAGATAAGTTCATGGAGGATGGGTTCATCAATAGCTATTAATCAAGATGATCAGGGATGCAATCCCATGCACTGGGCATCCCTAAACCTTCAATTGCCAGAAGCTTGGACTGGACAATTGGGGATGGATCACTCAAAATTGCCAGGTTCTGTTCATTCCCTCTGAAGCATCTGGCACTGGCCACTGTCTGAAGAGAGGATACTGGGCTAGATGAACCTTTGGTCCGACTTGAAATGGTCATTCTTATGTTTTTAAACTTACAATGGTGATTTGTTCATAAGAGATGAATAACCCTAAATCAAAAAAAGGATTTTTTTATTTTCAAATACTATTCCAACTAAACTTTTAAACATATTTAGACACTGAAAACTGATTGATTCTAAATTAGCATGCCAATCAGAAATAATTGACAATGGACTCAATCCTGCTGTCAGTGAATTTGAAAAAAAAAAAAGCCAAGAAAAACAAAAACAAATAACAAAATCTTTAAGGGGAACAGGAGCAGACGTAATGGCTGTATTTTAAAGAATCCTTATTGA